CTTCCATGAGTTACCGTTGTAATTTTCTTTATTTTTTTAATTTACGACGCGACCTACGGAATCACGCGACCGCGCATATACTATATATATATATATATATATTATATCATACTATATATAACTATATTAATATTACTATCACTACTACGCACACAATAATAGAAATAGCGCAAAGAGCACCCAATCAAAAACACCTTATCACTCCGCAGCATCAAGAAAAATATATATTTCCACGGTCTCGGCGCGGTTTCAGTCTACCTACTCACTGATTAGCATTTTCTTCGCTATGAACTTGCGTTATGTCCGCGAGTTGGCGTAGATCTTACTCCTACGCTGTCCACGCCGCCGCCATATATAAATCAACAGCTATACTAAGGTAGATCTCACGCGTATCTCTATTAGTTACTTATATTATATCGGCGTCCCGACCTGGTCCTCGTTCAAATCGGGTACCCAAGTTGTGCGAACCGCTTGATCTCGACAAAAAAGCAGAGGGCGGATCCTTCCCACATTCGAGTTCGTCCGGACTGCGACAAGCCAGTTCTTATAACGGTCGGCGTGAAAACATGTTCGGCTTCCTGGTCGGTCCGTCGGGCGCCAGGAGAGCTGACCCGGCACGCAACGTACTATCAACCCCTAAAGCGGGAATTAACCTGTCGAAAAAGGCCCACAACACACAGCCGCCCAGAATAACATTCGCGCACGGACACGCATGCTTGTCAGTCGCATTCTGCTGCCGGTAGCGTGCGCCATTTTGTATTTCTATGTTTTTTTTTTCAAATAAATGTCCGGCAATTTTTATTTCTATTTCGAGCTTGTTCACTTCGGCTCGTCTGCTACAGGTTCAAGCTCTACCCCGCCAGTAGGCATGCAACGCGCCGCACTACTACCCACACCATGGGATCTTGTATGTCCCGTTAATATAGGCACCTTTAGATAACTATTCGTAACTAAACATTATTATCCGCCTACACACTTCATTCCTTTCTTTCATCACATATGCATCGGTATCCTTAACATGCAGGCAATCTTAGTTATATCCCGGTGTTTGTGTTTTTTTTTTAGACGAGAACGTGACCTATTACTTCTGGAAGGAGCCTCGGAACACTTATTGCACCCTCCGCACGTCTCAGCCGCGTCGCCTACGAACCACTACCACTAATAACCCCGCCCAGCTCCTCAAAATATATAAATTTATGCGATCTAAAACACGCTTGGTAAATTCGTCAGGTGAACAACTCAACTACGTATATACTGCTGTTTTGCGATGTACATTCGCAGAGTTTAACCCCGTGCTACTGTTGAACTTCTGTGTAGGCAGGGTGAAGGTTGCGTGAAACTCTGGGATCAACAGCTGGAGCAGTGCTGCACGTATACGCTGAACAACTCTACGAGCACACAGGTGGTGCGGTCAGTGTTTAGGGGAAAGGTGAGCACATGACGGCGCCTGTTGTGCCTTAACACGTTAGAGTAAATACGCTCCCATAAGTCGTCGTACACAAGATGCCGTATGTAGCTGATAACCTTACCTCAAGTCAAGACGTCAAGGCTCTTGTCTAGGAGAAAATATGAAAGGGTCTCGTATAAAAGGGAATAAGTTTAATCATTTGTTTTGATTTTTCTTACGTTTACTTCATATGTTTGCGTACTTCTCAATATGTAATTCCTCTTTTAATAAACAAAAAACCACCTTTAAACGTCTTCCTACGTGTGCGTATTAGTTTAGTTTCTATATATAGCTGAGTCAGCTGCTATTTACATACGTGGATCTACATCATTTCGGTCATCTATCAATTATATATCGTGGAGTTAGACTATGTGACATCTCCTGGAATGCCCCCTATTACCAGAGCCCTGTAGACCTGGGGACGTTGAGGTTTTCAATCACCGCGCAAGGTCCTAGCTGTGCGCTGCAGTGGCTAGGTCGAGTGTACTGTAGTGACCCGAGAAGAAGAAGAAGATTTATATCTCGCACAATATTCTTCTTTCCCAGGGGCGAATCCTCGTCGGGACCCAGGCGGGGGACTTGCTCGAACTAGTAGAGAAGTCTCGCTCTGTTCAGACGCTGATGCGAGCACACGCCGAGGGAGAGATCTGGGGCCTGAGGGCGCATCCCTTCAAGTCCGTGTTCGCTACTGGCAGCGACGACGGCACCATCCGACTTTGGGATTTACTCAGCAAGGTCTCGGTGAATGTCCGTCCGCACTGCACCTTTCTAGAATCATGTGACCTGCCTAGTAGTGGGGGAGGGATACTGCAAAACGACGTCTGTTATGAAGTCGAACGAGATCCATTGTGTTTCGCCGCTACGCATTGGTAAATTAATATGACCCACCCACTAGGTGGGTTGATTCAAAACCTCTGTTATGAAGTCCCAAGAGCTGGTGTGGTGTCCCACACTGTACATTGTTAGGTTGATGCGGCCCACCCACTAGAGGGGAGGGGGAGATTTTGCAAAACTGATGTCACGAACTCTCGCACGGGTGGTACGTGTTCCGCGCTGCACAGAAGTCTACCGTTAGGTCGCACCATATGGGGCGTAGTGCATGCGGCACTATTGTAGATTGATGGAACGTAGTCATTGAGGCAATGGGTGCTGTATAGGTGTATCGCATGTCGCCACATCGAAGTCGCATGCTTCTGTTTAGAATTCGTGCCGCACCGCCTTCGTAGCTCGGTGCGCCTGCTGCATGTTTGTATAGCAAACGACGCCGCCTAGGTATGCATGCAGCACAAGCACGTTAGTATGCAGACCTGTTTTGTTAACGTAGTAAACAGAGACCACGTACGTTATCGTCTAGGCGACGCCATCTTAGCGCCACCTGGTGTCACTGTTCGTGATGAGTATCATAGACTAAGTATGAATTAACTGAGTTATTCTTAGTCTATGTCAGTATTCAGTCTACACGTCATGATACCAAACAGACACTGTGCACCCAGGACGCATGCGTATTGTTACACTGCGATAAGTTTGTTTATCTTAACGCTAAATCGGCACGAGCAAAACAAATTACGTACAGAAATCAGTCCCAAGAAAACTATAGCTGTTTCTACATTCCCGAGGAACATTATTTACTTCGCATTCGCCAACACTGAAAATTGGATATTGCTTAATAAATCACGAATATCTAATAATATAGTCTAATAATAATAATAATATAGTCTAATAATAATCTAATAATATACTCAGTTAATTCATAATAATATCCGAAGATAATCAAATATTATTTCATCCGCTTTAGTATGTTGTAGTTCGAAATGTTGTTATCGTATCTCGCTGTCTGCCTTCAGACGTTGATACACAAGATGGACATAGGCACTGCTGTACGCTGTGTGGATTACAGTCCCGATGGACATCAGCTTGCAGCCGGATTTCGCAACGGGGAATTCATCATTCTGGCAGTGCCAAGCGGCAAGGTGTGGAGCAGGAAATGCGACCGCCGCACGCCTATCACTGATATCAGGTGAGCAACGTCATTATCAGGTTAAAATACACAATTACCAATCACTGACATCAGGTGTGCAACGTCATTATCAGGTTAAAATACACAATTGCCAATCACTGACATCAGATGAGAAATGTCATTATCAGGTTAAAATACACAATTACCAATCGCTGAGTGAGGTCGTCAGGTGAATGACGTTGTAAACAGATAAGATAAATGTCGTCATCATCTAAGTGATGGCATCACCAGGCAACCCGCGCGTCACCATCCTGCAAATATGGCAACCAGGTAAGCGAGGTAACAAGAGGAGCGAAGCCATTGTCAGGTCCGTGACGTCATCGTCAGGTATGCTACGCATCATCGGATCAGTGACGTCATCATCAGATAAACGACGTCGTCATCAGGTCAGTGACGTCATCATCAGGTATGCTACGCATCATCGGATCAGTGGCGTCATCATCAGATAAACGACGTCGTTATCAAGTCAGTGACGTCATCGTCAGGTAAGCGACGTCGTGATCAGGTAGCCGACGTAATCATCAGGTAAAGAAACATTG